CGCATGTTGGAGCGTGAGAGGGTGCCTGTGGCCATCCTGCTGTCCTTGCACGCGGGGGCAACACATGCACGTGTGAGGGCGCGGGAGGCATTTAAAGGCCATCCCAGTCAAGTACTTCAATGTGAGCACAGCGCAGGAAGGGAAGAACAAATCAAAATGATCAACCAATGGACTGGCTACGAAGTTCTGTCTTTGGCTCCGAAAACTAAAGACTTGCCATCGTTCGGGGCCGTCGGGTCGCCAGACGCCAGGCAGGTGCTGGGCATCTTGCAGATGATGCGGCGCGTGGCTCAGTCGCTGATCTATCCGGCCAGTTGGTGTAAATTTTGTTTTTGTGAGACGGCTTGGTTAAGGGAATCTGGAGGGGGATGACTTGTGAAGCAGGTGGCACTCTGTTTCTCGTCAAAGGACTGGTTCGATCGTGACATTGGGCGTCAAAGGGCCAAGGTGAAGGATTTCATCAGACCACGCCCCAGGTGGCAGTGGTTGGTGGTTTTGAGTGTGTTTTTTTACTGCTCATTTGACTCGGGGTGTTTGATTCGGCAAAGTCGGGAGGCAGAGGCGCAGAGGTGAAAAACCAAGGCGCAGCGGGATCCAGCCAAACACACTTTGCCAGGGCCTGAGGTGGGCATATGCGCTTTGCAGTCGGGTCAGTCCCTCAGAGCTGCTCCTTTCATCCCTTTCCTGTTTCTGGAACATATCCCATGTTCACATCTCTTTCCACTCGCAAGAGAGTGAGCATTACAAAACAACAACGCGGTCTCCATTCCCCTTCCCTCTGGCCCGGGCATCGCCCGGGCCATTGGAACGACACAAGAGGGTACTTCTTCGTTGGTGTGGGGCTGGCGTCTCAGAGGGGCTTTCAGGCTTTCAGGCTGTGAGGGGGCCTACCTCACCAAAAGCAGAGGTTGGTCACTTCGAGTACTTCGGACTTTACTTTCGGGTCTCTCTGTGCTTGGGGGACAGGCTCAAGACGCCGAGACCTTCCCGCCTTCCCGCGCTGAGGGTATGGTGTGGCGCTGGGCGCGCATTGGCTCACAGCCCTTTGGCTTTTGGAGGCCGATGGGAGGCCATAAGAGGGGCTTCACCCCGCGTGGGACGAGCCTGGGGTCATTTCTTGTCCTTGGCGACATTGGAAGAGCCTTGAGTTATGGAAGAGGTGGCGGTTCTGGCTTCAACCAAGTCCTTGTTTTTTGCTCGAGGGAACCGCGGCTGTGTCCTTGGCTTCGGAAACCCTGTCTCGGCTCCAGAAGGGTCTTGGCCCGTTTCGCAGAAACAACCCCCTATAAATTAAGTGGGGTTGATTGATATGGGGTCAACATTACTCAGAAGAAGTTAGAAGCATTTGGGCCCTTCTTAAAAGCGGCCCAAAGTGCCACTTTGCGACGACTGGCCCAAAGGGTAGGTCCCAACATGCAACATGCAAGTAGTCAGACCCAGATCACGGGCAGCCAACATGGTTTCAGCGGCTGCTTCAAGCGCTTCAAGGGTGTTTTGTGTTGTGATTGTACTCGTTTGCATGTCGTTCCGCGTTTTTCAAGTGACTGAAGTGGCCTGTTTTTGTAGAGAGGTGTGTAACTTTGTGGCTTGTACTGTTGGGCTGCCTGAGCACGCAAATGCAGAACCCAGGGCATGCAGGACGCCTGGCAGAGTATGTTGGCATGTTGGCATGTCGTTGATTTTGCTCTTTCTGCATTCCGGAACTTTAGAAGCCGAAACATTTGCGTTTTTGCAGGGCAACTTCGGGGCACGCACCGTGCTGATATTTGAGCAATTGGAAGGAGGTCCGCCTGGGGGCTGTTGAACCATCATTTGCACCAGGGTCTTTTTCAGCGAAAGGTTCTTGGCAAAGATTGCACTGCCCCATGTTAGCAGTTCCTCACTTCCTGAGTTCTTGGACTTTACGCTTTTTGGGAATACCATGTTGGTGGTAAATCAAAAGTTTGACTTTTTTTGGGCCATCCACTCAGGACGAGAGTTTTCTCCGCGTGCCAGGAGATGCGGCAAGCTCAGCAGGATGCCTAGCTCCTGGCCTCTAGCGGGTGAAGGTGCTGTATTAATTCGAGGGTGGCCGGGGGAGGGGCGGGGCTGGGTGGTGATGGCGTTGCAGAAAGTTGTTGGCAAATGGAATCGCACGCTGGCAGCTGCAAGCTTGCCAAGCTTGCGACGGTTTCACTATCCTTCATTTGCACACATGTCTGAAAGCAAGAGAGGAGTTCACCACGATGCAGGAGTGACCTATGATAAGTGCGGGAGCTAGCGGTTCTCGGTGCCACGCAAGAGTTTGCAAAAGTTTCCCCGCCGCGCAGCAAGGCCCAAAATCAAGAACTCAAGGCGCGTGAGTGGGCGCAAGAAGCCATTCAGGGCGAAGCAGAAGCAGACCACAAACCCAAGACTCGCACGTCCTCGACAGGAAGGTCTCCAGCCAACAAGTGAAGCCATACAGCAAGCAGCCTGGACTGCATTGCACCCCGGTGCAATGCACTGAGGGAGTTCGTCCATGGCTTCAGCCATGTCGGCCATGGAGACGGCAGATACGCAAAGCGAAGATATTCCCAGCGGCCCGGCGCGGCAAATTGGGCCAAGAGAGTGGGTGGAGGGGGTGTGGCTGTCGGGGCAACCGCTCGAGGCGCACCGCTGGATCTCAAGGCATGCGATCGGCCTGGAACTGGCATGTCGCATCGAGACAGCTTCGACAAGATGGCGGGCAGTAGGCCTGGACAGCTCAGGCTCCTCCAAGGAAACTCACTCATGTTGGTGAAATGCACTGACATCAAGAGCGGACCTTGTTTTGAGAGAGGCTTCTGCTGCATGCTTATTGTAGAAGCCGTGAATGGGTAAGTCCCAGAGTATTTTTTCAGCCATGCGCGCACGTGTTTCCCAGCGGCCAGGCATCGGCCAGGCTGTTTGCTCTGACACTTTGCCATCGATTTTCACCAACTGGCTGTGGTGGTCAAAGCCGTTTTGGGATCCCATTTTGGGGCAGGTGAATTCACCACCCATTTTAGAACCTATTTTAGTGGGGATTGGCATGTTCACTGGGGTACGGGATTTGACCCATGGCCAACTGACTTGTTCGCAAGTGTTGCAGGCCAGGGACAGCAATGTCACTATCAGCTGCGCGGCTGCAGAAGGGCTTGCGGCAAGCACCGAGGGCATACCCATGCTTTGGTGCATTTTGCTTGGATGTTAGGTCTTTAACTTTTTGCCAACTAACGGGTTTTCCATTGCACCACTAAAAGTTAAACTTTTAGCAGGGGTGCAGAAAGCAACCAAGCATGGCTTGAAGGAGTTTCTCTACAGCCCACTGGCGGAAAACTTGTCAAGTCTCGAGCCCAGGACCAAACTGGCATGGGCGAAGACACGTGGCAGCAGTTAAATTCTTGTCGGGCAGCCAGTCGGTTGCCATGGTTGCTGCGTGTTCCCCAGACTCATCTTTGGCCGCCAGGCAGGCTCCAGTTGTCGAAGTCGAGTTATTTCACAACCTGAGGTTTGCCTTCTGAAGAGGGCAGTTCAGAAATTGGCCCTCTTTGGTGGTTAGACCGAGGGACAACCACCTTTTTTGGGATCCCCTAGTTGGCACACTGCAGGAAGTTGATTGGTCCTATTTAGCAAACTGCAGGAAGTTTCTTGGTGGCAAGGATGCCCAGTTGCCCAGTGGCTCCCTTTTTTTCGCCTTTTTTGGGGAAGGGTTCCCCTTTAAACTCCACCAACCATAAAAAACTTGGTGGCCCCCAGCCATCCCCTTAGCTTTTAGCCTTGTAGTGTTGAGTCGTAGTTTCCATACTAAAAGTTAAACTTTTAGCGGGGATCTGAGGGCAGCCCAGAAAGGATGTCCCTTGATTTTCCCATGAGTGGCGGTTTGTTTTTCCGCTCAAGCAAACATGTATAGATGTTGACATAGCAACAAACAATGTGGCGCCGCGCTGCAGTCGCGGAAGGCTCGCGGAAGGTTTGCGGAAGGATTTTTCCCGCGGAAGCTCGAGGAAGGGACCCTTTTGATTTGCACATAGTAGTTTGATTTCGGTTGGGTGGTTGTTGCCAAGCACATTTACTAGCAAACCATACGCACGAATTCCCTCGCGGAAGCTACCTCCCTCAGTTTCCAGAAGCAACTTGCCTGCGGAGGCCCGAAGCACTTATACAAACTTACGAAGAAACATGCTCGCGGAAGGTACCCTTCGCAGCGCGGAAGCTTCGCGGAAGGTTTTGCGGAAGGGTTTGATACGTCAATGCAAATTTAACGGGAATAAAAACCACCACTCCCATGGAATTCCACGGGGCCGAGGATAGCATGGTGTCGTTCATCCGCTCGTGCATGACCAGCATCTTGCAGCCGTTTGGGCAGACGGTGGATGAGCTGCACAGGTGCCCACTCGGGGCGACCCCTTTCGGGGCGAAAGGGAGGTCCAACAAAAAGCCCTTGCAACGAAAGAGGTCCCCCAGCTAGGTGCCCATAGGTGTCCTTTTTGGTGTGCTTAAAGACTAAAAGGCCCTGGTTTGTTTGGTGGTTCAATCATCTACCAGGGCCATCTATTTTCCAAAATGGACACCTATGGTAGTCTCTTTTACCTTTTCTTTGGTTGGGAGGGTTCCCCTACGAAAATAGACTACACAAAAAAGTGGGTACCCTTATTCTAAGCTCTCTACGGGAGGACCTAGTTAAGGAACGACTTGCTCGGGCCTCGCGGCTGCAATTGGATCCTGTGCTGCAGTGTCATTGTTCCGTCGGCTGGGCCCGAAGCTAAGATATCAACGGCGCAGTGCGCTTTGGGTGCAGGCAGACCTTTTGAGATATTGAAGGTTGTCCCGAAAGGTTCTACTCAGTTTAACCAGTTTTGACATATTCCCAGGTCTTGCAAGCTGTCATGGCAGTTTCCACAACTTCAGACCTCTTGCTCAGCGGGCGCAGAGTATCCCGAATGCAGCTCGCAGAGTCAAGCGACGGCACAGCTTGCTAGTCCGCTAAGCATGTCGACAAGCAAACATCAGTCTGTTCCAGGGTTGTGGGATCAAGGGGTTTCTCCCCACTTCTGTGATACAAGGGAATCCCCCTTTATAAGAACAAGAGTCTTTGGGAAGCCCTTTCTGTTGTATCACAGAAGTGGTCATTCCCCACAACCCTGGTCTGTTCGGAAACAGTGCAGGCTCGGCCGCTCGAAACCGGTCAAATCTACCAGAGCGTGATAGTGAACTAAACTGAGTCCAAGCCCCGCTGAAAAGCTTTGGCGTGCGAAGGAGGGATGGGGGTGGCGTATTTTCTCCGCGACTTTTTAGGGATGACTGATGACACTTTGTGTCTGACACGGAAAGATTCTGGTTTTGCACCATCCGCAACCGGCCTGCGCAACACAGGGAGCCACTGGCTTCAAGAAACGGGTTCCCAAAGCAGCGGTATTCAAGCCTGGGGCAGGCTGCTGGTGCACAAACCCATCTCAAGCATGTTTTTGGGGATTCTTTCAGCGGTCCTTTGTCTTTTTGCTGTGGTCTATGCAAATCGGCTTCCTGAAAGAGTAAACAAGAAGAGAACATGTTGACAGGAGTCTACTGCACCGCACCCCTCCTGCCTTAGCCGCCTCAGTCATTGGCAAAGGCGATTCTGAAAAAAAAAGTGTGAGAAGACTTTCAGCATGTTGCAGCTTTGCCGGTCAAGCACGTTTACCCCAAAGAATGCCCAGCTGCGCAAGTTTTGCAGGCAGTGTATAGAACAGAAATCTCCTGGGGCACTGGATTCGTTGGTTCCGCGCAGGTACGTTGCAACCTTGTCCGAGAGCTTGAGCTCCTTGCCTATCCGCGCGGACGGGCATAGCTTGGTGCAGAGTCATGCGAGGCAAGCGCGTGACACCTACAGCAGGTTACTGGAGAATCAGTTCTTTACCAAGGCAGTGTCTTCAACCTAGCTATGTGGCCATGCCAGATCTGCACTGCCCTATGAGTCGAGCCGCGGTTGAACCAGGTACTTTTCCTGCCAGAGTGGGAACTGAGGCTCGCTGGGCGAAGACGCCGACCTGCACACCACCCAGCTGTCAGAGCACGCGGCCTTGATCTCTGAGCTACGCGCAGAGCTGAACCGAACCTCAGACCAGGCGGATTGACGGTCGGTCGCCTTGTCTTGGAGGTTTGAAGGAAACCCCTGCCCGGTGGTGCCCTTGTCTCCTTTTGTGTGGGGAAGGGTTCCCTTTTAAACTGAACCAACCAGAAAAAAAGATGCCATAAGATGCCCGTTTTTTCCCCTGGCCGCTGGGCATCTGAGAAACCCACAGGAAAACCATTTTGGGGGCCCTACAAAAGACACATCCGTTTGGACAGGTACAATCAAGGAGGACATAACTTGACTGCTATTGGGTTGGATCTGTAGACTTGAACTTTTTGGGAAATCAAGAGGGTTTCCACTAAACCCACAAAAAGTTGAACTTTTTGCAGAGGGGTCAACAGCAACCAAGATAAGTTTCCATTCCAAGCACCAGCCGTGGATGTTCCTCGCCAGTGTTTGCGCGCGCCGCTGAGTGCGCCGCGTAAAATCTCCCAGCGCTGGTGGTCTACATCGCCAGAATTCGCGAGCGCCGCGTGGCATTCCATGCTTCTTTGGTGCATTTTGCTTGGCTGTTAGGACTTTAACTTTTTGCCAACCGATGGGTTTTCCGAATTAAACCACTCAACGTTAAGCTTTTAGCAGGGGAGCAGAAAACAACCGAGGCTTGTTCTCGGTTCTGAATCAAGGTCATCCGTCGTGCTTTGGTTCCCGCATTTGCTGGACAGGGCCACGGCTGGCTGTTCTCATGTGGATGTGGCTTAAAATTAAAAAGCTAGGGTTACACACGTTCTAGTCTTTGGTTCCATTTACCAAGGCGCTATTTTGGTACCACTTTTTTTGAGCTACAGCCATGTGTGTTGAGGCCACTCACCAGCCAGGGCGAACGGCCACGGCCGCGCCAGTGCATCGCCAGCCAGAGTTCATAGTGGGAATCATTGTTTGTTGGCATTTATAGGGGTAATCATCATTCCAGGGTTTCTTAGGTGGTGCGAGATGGATTTCGCAACCATCCGCAGTAGTGAGGCCTTGGTCCGCGCCTGGTCGCGATGGCTTTTTTTCTGCCTGCTCGGGGAAATGTGCTGCAGGGTTTGTTTTCAGTGGATCACACCAATCCATCCCATCCCTTCACTGTTGTTGCCATGCTTTATCAAAGGTCTTTCATTTTTTGTTTTGTGCTTTTGTTGGTTTCCTCTTCATTTTCAGCAGGGCCCACCTAACAAAACAACAATCACAGTCCATGTTGTTTTGCAAGCCCATCCCTCCCCTTCCCCTCTCCTCCCCTCCTCCCCCCATCCCTCCCCTCCCCCTCCCCCTCCCCGACGCCTGAACGCCAGGCGCAGCGCACGGAGCGCTTGTTGGGCACCGCCGTGGAGGAGAAGGCGCAGCTGGCGGAGGAGCTGCAGCTGCTGAAGCCCAAGCTCACGGAGTGCCCCGGCAGACCCGGCCCGTCGACCCGGGCGGGCGGAGGGAGACGGCCTTCCCAGAAGGGGGGCCCGCGAAGCTTAGTAGTGCTTATTAGTTCGACCTCTGACAAAGACACGGAGGAAACGAGAGAGGGAGAAGAGACAACGGACAGGAATGAGTTTGTGGATGGCATTCTTCTTTCGGTTCCTTTGTCACCCATCCACATTCAGTCATCTGTTCGTTCTCTCTCAATTTCCCTTCTTTGTCTGTTATCTTCAGGCTCTTGTACTAATTACTTTCATCTTTTCGTCCATAATATAATGATAGAAGAAATAGAGCCTGAAGAACAAGACAATGAAGAAGGCCGGACAAAGAGACGGCCAATTACTTCCTTCCCAGTCATTCTCTATCTGGGATCTTGGACACAAGGACGAATCAAGAATGAACTAGATAGAGGAAAGAGACTGGGAATGAAGGAATTATCTGTCACTATCGTTTTCCTTATTAACCACTCACGAACGAAGCAATCAAGCTCTTCTATGTTTGGCTTCTCTTGGAAGCGTTCCATCATCACTTCAATAATACCCCAAATTCAATAACCAAATGATGGCAAAAGGACTATGATTAGAACGTAAGGAAAGGTTAACGGCTTTTATGAAAGGAACTTGAGTGACTGGAATTCACGGTTTACTTCTCCTTTCATTCCCTTATCTCCTGTCGGAAGAGGAGTGACATGTAGACCTAACGAGGAAGCTGGGGGCCTGGGGGGCGGGGGGGGGCTGGGGGTCCCAGAAGGATCGCCCAAAAAGTGTCACCCAGGCAAAGCTGACAGGTCAAGCTGGGAACAAAAACAAATCATGCCGCAGGTGGGTGTCAGTCGACTTTGGGGTCGAGCTGCCCCCATCCCTTTTCAGGGATCCTTATTTATTGAAGAATAAGCAACGCCCTGAAGAAAAGGCGGATTCTGGGAACCGATCTTTGGACTGTACCTATCTGTCTTGCGAAGCTTAATTTTGCTTGATGAAAACAGACCGGATTTCCCATTGCACCCACAAACATGTTAAAAACCTTTTGCAGGGGTCAACAGCAAGAGTGACAACCTATGCTGTTTTTGAACGTTTGTTTTGGTTTTGCTTTTTTTTCCCGGAGGGAGTCGGCCCGCTTTCAAAATCAACTGCCAAACCAACGGGCCATTGAAGGTTCCCGGTGTGAGTGTAATGGAAATCATGTTGCGGGCGCGGATGTGGCCAATGACCCCCCGGGAAAAGCATCACCAAAGAGAAGCTCATTCAACTCATGTCAAACATTAACCGGTTCGCTTTTTTGTAGACAAATTCCATTGTACGCTTTTTAAAATTGTGTGGTGTGTGTGTGTGTGTGTTTTTTCCCCCATGGTGTTGTTTGTTTGGTTGCTTGTTTGCCTGCTTGCTCGCTTGCTTGGTCGCTTGTTTGCTTTCTTGTTTGCTTGCTTGATTGCTTAGTTGCTTGCTCGTTTGTTTGCTTGCTTGCTTGATTGTTTGCCTTTGTGTTTGCGTGTTTGCTTGTCTTGCGGGTTTGCGGATTTGTGTGTTTGTGCGTTTGCTACTTTGTGTTTTTTTGCTTTTTTGTTTGGTTGCCTGGCTGGCTGGCTGGCTGGCTGGCTGGCTGGCTGGCTGGCTGGCTGGCTGGCTGGCTGGCTGGCTGGCTGGTTGGTTGGTTGGTTGGTTGGTTGGTTGGTTGGTTGGTTGGTTGGTGTTTGTTTGTTTGTTTGTTTGTTTGTTTGTTTGTTTGTTTGTTTGTTTGTTTGTTTGTGTTCTTGCTTGCTTTGGTTGGTTGGTTGGTTGGTTCACTGGTTAGTTGGTGCTTTTCGTTGTTACAGTTGTGTACGTTTGTGTGCGGGGGGCCTTGAAGCGCTTGAAGACCTGAGCTTGAGCCGCGGTCCTGGCCGCCATGAGCAAGCAAATTCTACTGTGGATGGACGAAATCCATTTCGCGCCACCTAAGTAACCATGAGACACCATGGTTGGTTAGTATTTACAGGGGAATCAACAGACACCAGGGTGCTGAGGTGGTGCGAAATGGTTTAATCCTTGAGTGCCGGGACTTGCGGCGACAAGAGCGACGCTTCAAGGATTGATGGGCGCGTGGCGGAAGTCCACGACAATGTGCAGGCGCAAGGGGGGTGGCAACCGGGGGAGGGCCCAGCAAGGACAGCATGGTGTCAACCATCGCAACCATAGGTCTTGGATCCCATGAGGATTCCTCGGCAGGTGACGTTGGCCGAAGCAGTTCAAGGGCCACGAGAAAGGGCTAAACACCGCGGTGCAGCTACCAATAAATTGCATAGCATGGTCCAGCAACTCGTTTCTTCTTAGTGAAGCTTGCTTTGTCTCATAGGCCGTGGGACTTTCCCTGAAAACGCTTTGGCAGCAAGTCAGGCGGAATGGGGGAGCTTTGTTTTATCCCAACCCAATCTGCCACGTGCAGCTTTTGTTTTCGTGGCCCTTTGTAGTGCTCAAGAGGCGCTGCGCGGTCAACAGGTCAATGTAACTCGTGCGGGACCACCCAACCCATGCAGATATGAAACGTGTAGCGGGCTTTTAGCGCGCTTTCTTTGAACAGAGAAGCTGTGGTTGGAGAATTCAAGGATTTCAAGCGCTGGAATCCCTCCAAACAAGTACGAGGGCCTGCGAGAGTGGTCCCGGACTCTGCGAGTTCGCCAGGAGATGCAGCCCCGCTTGAAAGACGCACGCACTAAGCTTGCCAGGCGCCGGACAGAGAATCGGACGGTCGATTCGATTCGGCACGGAGGTTCCTGTGTGTGTGCCGCACGGAGAGAGAGGGGCAGCGCAAGTAGCAAAACGAGGGCAGCGTTCTTGTTCTCGGGATTTCTTTCTTGAACTTGATAGATTATATGAAATTATATAGCTACATTGGGATTTATTTATTGAACTTGATAGATTATATGGCAACTGATTCGCGCCGGGCTTTGCCGTCCCAGGTGTGTGGAGTCCAAGTTTGAGACGGATAGGGACATCGCACAGCTCCGCTCCCCGACACGAACCGACGGACCGACCCTCGAGCAGCTGTCACACCCCCCAGTTCGGAGAGAAAATGAGTAGTCTGTTGCTTCCAGATTAGTAAGCCCATGTTTATTGATATGGGGGTGCTTTTCCCTGGTTTCACTGGTTGGATTTATTACTTTTGGAGGGGAACAGTCCCATATTAATAAACAGGGGCTTATTAATCCAGGGGCATCATTTGGACCGTTCGGGGCCCAAAGAGCCTCAATCCAAGTCTCACTAAATAAAAGGCCTACCCAATTGAACCAACTGCAAGTAGTATCCGTGGCTCACATGATTGATCAAGATCTCTAGGGGCGCCTCTGTTCTGCCAGTCCCCCTGGATTTGGGTGAGGTGGGTGAGATCTATTTCAGACAGCCTCTGAAGTAAGTGCCTTGACCATGCTCGATGTCACTGTAGCTTGAGTGGACGCGGCAAGCATTTGTTTGTGCACCTGCAGTTCGTGCAACTGTTGGGCACTTAGCCAGATTGGAGGCCTCGCGTAGGCTACGATGGATTAGACCAACTGGTCGCACGTCCAGCGGCTCTGACAAAACCTGAGAGCCACAGGTTTAACCACAGGTTTGCTTGAACACTTCCGACACTACCTGCCTAGCAGCTAGGAAAGAAAGGGCAGCTTTGTTGTTTATGCGCTTCGCCTATGCGATGAGTATATAGATTCGTCTTTTTTTGATGTACCCCTTTTGGGCTTGGTGTTAAATGAAAGCCAACACGAAAACCATCATTGTTGTTTGGGTGGCGATTTCTAAAAAAAAAAAAAAACATGTGCTACTGGGCCGGTGGCCCTACCTCAGGTTCTGCGCTAGAGCAAGTTAAAACGGAGATGAACGAGTGGGAGAAGACCCACGAGGTGCTGGTCCAGTCTGTGAATGGTGACTTGGCTTTGGAGCTTGGGAGCGAGTGCGCAGGCATTGTTGAATCGGTGGTTGCCAAGCACCTGTGGCACCAACTTGTGCCTAAGGCAGTACCTTACCACCTGATTACGGGAGAGTTCCTGTCAGGCAAGCCATGTCTTTAGCCAATGAATCAAAGAGGTGAGCCGACCCACTCCTGTTGCCACATGCCTGCTGGGCAAGCAACCAGTTTCAGTGTGGTCGCCTTTTTTCCCCCAGCGGGGTCTTTGCCTAGATAGGCCCTGGGGTGGCTTGAGGTAAAATAACCCGTTTCAGTCTGGTTGCCTCCCTTATTGGGGGGGGGCAGGGGGAAGAAGGCTTGATTTGCGTGTGTCTGTTTCTGTTGGTTTCTAGACCCCCCAAATCATGATGTCCTCGTTTCCAACACAAAAACCAATGCCACCAGGGCGAGACCAACTCCAAACGCTCCGAGCTCCGAGGCGACAGGATCAACTCGGAGACACGCTTCCAGGAGAGTCGGGAAGGGCCCATTCGGCTGAGCAAACTTGACATATTTTGCAGGTCCATAATTCTTATACATGTGTATGTATAAAAATGTGTATATATATATATATGTACATAGTATTTATGCATGATTACACACATATATATATATATACATATGCAGAGGAGCCACGTTGCTTCAATTCGGGTTGTTTTGTTGCCTGCGTTTCGAATATTCAAAGAGCAGGAGTTCCTCGGATTCACGCGGGAGCAGCGAGAAGAGAAGAAGAAGGTGGAGGCGAACAGCGCCCAGTTGGCGGAGAGGCGGTGCTGGGGGGAGGGGGCCGTGGGTCAAAACCGTTTTGCTACCATTTTGGGGTAATTGCACCACCCATTTTAGAACCTATTTCAGTGAGTGGGGATTGGGATGTTCACTGGGGCTACGGGATTTTGACCCACAGCCAGGGGGGGCCCGTGGATGGCATGGCTGGAATCGGTTGAAACCTGGTTGGCAGATCAGGTCCTTTGCGTCATTGCTTGTTGGCCATCCAAACGACTTTGTGTCCCGGAGGCTGCTGAGTTAGCCAGGTAAATTGGCGGCACAGCGTACTGGTGCTACTTGACACTTTGGGTATCGCTTTTGGGGTGCTGCTGGCCAAGCGCAGGCTGCGCAGCATTGAGGAGAAAGCACACGCGCCTTGACCGCGCATCCAGGAGTCTGAGGCTGTTGCTATGCCCTCTAGTCCGTAAGGCCTTCTCATTGTCGGCTGACATTACTTGAGGCGTCAAACCACCTGACTCAGCGGTTTCTTTGGTGCATCTTGCTTGGCTGTTAGGACTTTAACTTTTTGCCAACTAATGGGTTTTCCACTCCACTAAAGGTTAAACTTTGTCGCAGGGCTTCGCAGATTTCGCCACCGAGGTGTGGATGCGGCGCTGGGAACTGGTTTTTTCTCCCCCCGAAAGCGCACGGGCAAGCGGAAGGCGCCCTGAGTCGTTTTTCTCTCCGAGGACGTGGAGTTGCGGCTGCAGGACCACACGGAGAAGCATCAGACCACCGGTGCGACGGCGCAACAGCTGCGGGAGAGGTCGGAGGCCCTGCAGAAGTCCCACGAAGAGTCGAAAGAAAGGCGGGGATGAATTCGCGGTTGGCCGCTGGGGCTCAAAGAAGCATTCAGGCCTTAGTTGCCCAAAGCCGACCTTTTGACCTTCTGGTTTTCCCGTGTTGGTCCATTTTTAGTGGCCCCAAAAGGTGATCGCCTTTTGTTTCCAGGTGCTTTGGGCAACTGAGAGGCGTTTCATGTTTGAACTTCAGGTGGCACGGCTCACGGCTCCTGGCCAGGCTCAATAAGTGCAATGTGGCCATAACCGACTACCGGGTTCTGGCAGCGGAGAACAAAGAGAACATCTCCAAGCTGATGTCGATCCTGTCAGGGCCTGACTCCTGCCTGCAAGAGGTATGCCATGCCATGGGCTGCATTCAGAAATGCGAATCATAACTTGGCGGTTCCCAAGTACTTTCCTAGACTTTTAGTCAGGTTTTAAATTTTAAAGGGCTTGGTGGGGGGTCCCTTTAACCCACCAAAAGTTAAACTTTTTAGCAGGAGACCTGAGGACAGCCCAGAGAAACAAATGTGAATACGATGCCCTGAGCTCTGCTGGAACCCCTCGGTGCCCTCCACACCGGGTCGGAGTCCGATGGCACGAGAGAGGGAGAGAGAGTGGGAGAAAGACTCTTGTACGTGTCAAGTGTAAACAGGTAGATATGATGCATAGACATTAATAGTATATACATATATATTATGTAAACATATGCGTGCACATACATACACACACACACACGCATATATATATATATATACATACACATATAGATGCGTAGATGTATATATATATATATAGGTATGTATGTATGCATGATTATGCATGTCTATATGTTGTTGTATATGTGTGTGTGTGTGAAAAAGTGTGCACGTGTAATATCTATAGTACATATATATATATACATATACACATACACACGCGCACACACACACACACTTTAAATACGACACGCATGTATACATATTTATATATATATATATATATATATATATATTCATGAAACGCAGGAATGATGTGACCAGCGGTGGTGTGTCGCTCAGATATGCTCGGCCAGTTAGCGAGGATGCGCACACATGCCCGAATTAGCCTTGATCAGCAACGTTTCCCACCTGGAACCTGCATCTTGTTATAAATGCAACCAACACGCCAACGTGGAAAAGGCACACAGAACTATACGTGATACCATGGGATTAAATAAACGAACTGTGTTCGTTGAACGGAAGGGGACAACTGCGAACTGCAGAATGCTCCCGGGAGACCCGCGTCCCCACCCCCTTAAACTGGAATTGGGGGTGACTCCTGGACTTCCATTTATAGTCTCATTTCCTTTGTAAGGGGCAGACTAGACAACTGGACTTGTGGACCCCCTCCCCTCCCCCTTATGGTAGGTATCGACTCGGCAAGGATGTGCTCAACAACTTGGAGACGGCCTTAACGGTGATCAGCAAGATCGTGGAGCAGAACAAGCTCTCCGTCAAGGACTTGGACGAGCGCACGGCAGCTCTCTTCGAGAGGGAGAACAAGGCAGAGGGAGGAGTTCTCCGGCACGTACGCTAACACCTGAATTCTTTGCTTGTCAGGGGCCCCCAGAGAGGGGACCCCCTAAAAATGCTCCCCAAACAAAACCCACTTAACCCCCCATAGACCCTATCAGTGCCTATTAGTCGCTATTAGCCTTGGGATTAGGGGGGGCCTTTATCGGGGGCCCCTGACATCCGTAGGACTAAAGGCCAACATGGTCTTTTCGGGATACTCCGGTCAGTCTCCATGCCCTGCTAGTGGAGGGTATAGCTTTCGCTTACCAACCTAGTTACAGCGAAAGACTTCTCGACGCATCTGGGCCGCACACATTTACCGTGCAGTGTAGCCATGTTTTCCTGAGTTGCGTTTGCGCCCTGCCCTGCACGAGGCGGCAACAAAGGCAGGGCTCCTTGGCTTCAAATTGATAGGGTGCGACCTGGCAATAATATCTTTTCCTCATCAGGATGTTCAGGTGCTTATTGTAGAGGCATTTGCTGGATTCACCACCAGCATGTATTTCCAGAGGGTTGGAAGGGCCTAACGAAGAATGCCAAGGGCGCCACACAAGTGACAGGATTGATGAATGAGACTTGGGCTCGGCTCGGGAGACGGGGTGTCGGCGTGCATACTACTTTCAGCAAAACATCATACTCACGCGCTGTTCCCACCAGCAGCGCATATTTAAGTTACTCTCCGGCTTTGGCCATGTGACGCGTGCTTCATGCATCTCTTGCATCTCTTGGTTTTTTGGATCATGGCATAGGACGACTGATGTGGCAAGCCCGATCTGTTGCCAAGAGTTGCCTGGAACGCTCCATTACAGCACCGCTCCTCAACTAGGCCTGTTCTGTTGCATCAGCGCCGTCAGCAACCATTATCCATTCCGGCCGACTTGCCCTCACACCAATCAACATTGAACCTGACGGGGGTAGAGACGCAAAGCTGTGCTACCGAATGCTTGTGACCAGCGTGGACCCAGGAATCAAACGCTTTATGGATTGTATGGATTGGTCCCTTTAAACAGCACCTTTTTCCAGCTGATTTGGCAGATCCCCTGGTTTTAGCAGATGAAAACCAGGTCTATCCTTCAAGGAACCCTGTTCATTGTCTCGCAATCGCCTGGACACGGACAGCTGAGGCAGCTGGAGGATGTGCTCTCGAACTTGACGAGAAGGGCCGAGCGGGTGGAAAGCATCCTCGGGTTGGAGCCCTTGAAGAAGGAAGCAAGCTGCAAAGAGTTGTTGTAGTCTTTGTGTTTTTCTTTGGTTGTTTTAAGAAAACAGCGCATTGTGTGCTTCTTCTTTGTTGGTTTTCAACATGAGATTATTTTAAATAATGATGCCTGTGCTTGCCAGTGCTCGCGCTTTTGCTGCGTTTCGCAGCAGAGCACGGGTTGGGATTCGTGCGACAACTCCAGAGCGCAAAGTGGTTTTCCTTTCGTGAACTACTTCTTACTCAGCCCGGTTGTGTGTGGGCAGGGTGGGGAGTGAATAGATGGTTTCTAAAGATAGGGGTGCCCCAAATCGGTGGTTTTCCTGCCGGTTTCCTGCCACTCCATGGGGTACCAACTCAAGACGAGCGACCCCACATGCAAAAGGCGCCAGCACCCGCCACCGCTGGAATGCCACTGGGCCAAAGGGATTTCAGTGCTTTCAGTCGCTAAATGCCGCTCTTTAGCTCGCTTCCTGAGTTCATACTTTTTGGGAAGACGATTCTTGCGGCAAGCAAAGCGTTTCGACTTTGTTTGGCCGGTTCATTTCTTTACTTCCACTCAGGAAGTGAGTATATCAGTGTCCTGTCAGATTGTAGGAATTTGAATTGCGGCTTGCTGGTGGGCAGCATTTTGCTTGGGATTGATGTCCACCCACTTTTGAGGGGGCTCCCTACTTGAGCTCATAGCCAACTAGGAGCAACTTCTTGCATAGGGGCACTTTCGGTTCCAGCTCGCGACGTAGCTTCAACAGAGCCCTTCCCAAGCCACTGCAGCATACCACCATGAACCCATCGAGGCCTGCAGATAGGTTCGTAGCGTGAGAGGTTGGCTGTTGCACTATGCGCATGAGCTGATTTGATGGCAGCTAGCCCTGCCAGGACGACGACGAGATCACCGGCGGCGTTGTGTTCAAGGGCGGGATTCTGCTGACTGAGGAGCACCCTGGCTGACCACTTGCTGGTCCAATCCACTTGAGCCGGGCATTTGTGGGTACGAGATTGTTTGGTTGTGCCAGACGCCAACCCCCCCCCCAAAAAAAAAAAGGAACAGAGGTCCACACGTTGACGATTGTTGACGACACGGAACCTCATGAGACTTGATGCTCCACCTGAGGCAGATCAGACACTTCAGGGATATATTTGATGAGTTCGACGCCGACAACTCGAACACAATATCTGTTGCGGACTGATGTGCGTTGTCGTAAGGGTTCCATTCAGGGCTTGTCCGGCACTCGCTTACCGAGTTTGGTGACTCGATTTTCTGAAAATCTCGTTCTGTACCCTCCTTCGTCTTTTGGTGGCGGCCATGTTCATGAGTGGGAGGATTCTTTTGGGGAATGCTTGCTTTTCTGGCTGGAACTGGCGTCAGGCATCGGATTTTGTCCCGTAGTCTTGGGCATGGCTGGTTCTTTTTGGCAAAGCCTTGGTGTGAGTATTTCTGCAACTTGGCCATGGCGAGGTGAGTTCTGGGCTCCCATTGATTGCTTGACACGTGGGCGACACTGGCCTCAGCTGGAGCGAAATTTAGCTTCAGTGGGGTTCAGCAAGCTGATTGTCCAAAGCCATAAGTCAGCTCCACGCCCGGGTTCCTGACACCCAATGGCCGCGAGAAAGCGGGGCGACTCACTGCTTCCAAGTCATGATTCAGATCAGACCCTTCTGAAACCTCCGCAGTAGTAACTCTTGGGTCCCCCTTTGTCGCGAGATATCGACCTAGGATTCAAAGGTGTGTGTGTGTGTGTGGTTGTGTTGTGTGCGTGCTGCCATTCTCTGACGCAGGGTTCCACTTGTTGGTTTCTCTTTGGGTTGATTTCAACCCCTGGGTTTAAGTCCACCTTGACATAGTCAAAAAGATCAAAAAGCGGGGGTCCCTGTATCAGAACCCTTCAGCAGCCTCCGAAAAATGTAACTCTCGGGTTTCCCCTGGGGCGAGATATTGACCTAGTAGGATTGTTTGTGTGTGTGCTGCTAGTTTCTGACGTCTTCTTGCGAATGCTCATAAAAAGAGTCGTGCTTTGAAGGAGCTGGAGGATGTCATGCAAAGAACTGGCCTAAATCCTCCAATGGACATTGTCTATGCGATCCTCGAAGCCATAGATGTGGACAAGAGTGGGGATATTGCCCGGGCCCCGGCAGCCGGATGTTGGAATGCACTGGGCGAGATGTTTGCACTTATCCTTGGTGTCTTTTAATTAGGTTAGTTGGGTTAAATATAGATGGCACTGGTTTAGATGGGTTTCCTTATATTTACCAGGGCCATCTGTTTTTTCAACAGGCCACCTGTGGCACTTGTCAGTTTCAACACGGCGTTTTTGACTTTGGTTTCCAAAGCCCTTGCCCAAGGTAGCTGGACTATCCCTAGGAGTGACCCAGATACTTCTAGTTTGCTCACTCGGCAAGGGTCAGGCAGCGTCCTCTGGCGCCGCTGGATGATTTCTGTGCCCCTTTATGCCGGACCCATTGGTCACAACAGCCGATGGCCGGTTCCACCGAGGAATAGCCCACAAGGTTCGAGGCTTCCTGGGCAACACATTTGCAACACATGGAGCCTCCCTTAAAGCTGTAAAACACCCAGGATCCGCTTTCGAAAGAAACCACTGGTCCGGTAAGCCTGAAGCCAGCTGGTTCGGCTTCGCCCCCGCGCTGCAGATATTCGAAATTCGGTGCCAAGGACTTCGATGAGTTCTGCGCCCTGCTCACCAAGATGCTGGGCCCAGATGGCAAGGTGGACGTCGAGCGGATGCTGCAAAGCGCCCCGGGCGACGGTGCGTTTTACGAGCCTGGTTCGTGAGCTTCGAGATGACCGCTTTTTTTTTCTCCTCGTTTTTTTTTTTGTTTTTTTCCCAGCTGTTTGTTCCTTATTTGTTCCTTTTTTTCAGTTTCTCTTTCTTTTCTTTTTTTTTCCGGACGCCTGATAACTGGCCTTGGACACATATGCTGGCGTCCTTCAAAATGATAGGGTAGCTTTGACGTTGCGCAAGTATGCGCTGGTCCACTCATGCGAGCATGTGCCCGGCCATGGGATTTCCCATTTGCTAAGGCATGTACGACAGCATGTCCTATGACGCCAAGACGCGCAAGGCGGTGGAAACAGTGATCCACCATACCACTGAATTGAAGCAGCACAAGGACTGATTTGAACTCAGCAGAGAGCATTCGTTTGGTTTCGTCCTGTCTTGAAACCGGTTTGCCACTTGCCATGTGTGTCATGACTCTTGTGCCTACGGCTGCCTTCAACATGTTTTGTTGTGATCAGGTGCACGTTTTCTGTCGCGGTAGTCACGTTGTTGAAGTATGATTCAGCTGGCACAATGCCGCATCCCTAAGTCATAGGTCACTTCCGCCCTTTCGGCGCCGGCAACCCGGGCCGCCAGGAGCAGATCTCCCAGGACACGGCGAAGATCGATGATGCCGAAGTTCAGATTGCGGGCTTGCACGCCAACATCGGGTCCTTGGAGGCTGAAATCAAAAGCTTAAGACGCCTGGTGGTGATTTAATCGGTGAGAAAAACGTGCAGACGGCGGGATGGCGTGGGTGGAAGAGAGCTAGAAAAGCGCATGTGCCAAAATCAGAGCCAGAGACTGCTTCGCATGCGGCAGTGGGCGGATGAGGCCAGTACTCTACTGAACTCGCAAGAGAGATGTGCCACTTTTTTGTTCAGCTGACGTTGCCTCCGCAGTGCCAAAGGCTTCTTTCGCACAGCGAAACAGTAAAAGTACCCTCCCTCCCACTAACATGGCTAAGTTTCCTCAAAAAGGGACCCCATGTCAGGTGCCAAGTTAGTGGGAGGAAGGGTAAGTTCGAGCACAACATGGTTTGCAGCAGATTGAACCAAGGACAAGGGCTTGATCTCACTCAGGAGCCTCTTGGCATAGCAAAGGCATGTCTTCTGGCTGTGTCATTGTGGGGGTCTACGGTCGACCTCCGGGTCGATTGCAGCCACCTGCCTGTTGCACTTCCAAGGTATTGGAGAGGCTTTTCACGGGGCCTGAAGGAGACCAAAAACACGGTCCATTCAGATGGCGACGAGGTGCTCCCCAGCGTGCCGCTTTGCGGCAACTGAGAAAGTCATCGCCGGGAATTTGCGGGCAGTACTGCACTTGAACAGCAAGGCAGCCCTAGAAGATCCTAGAGCCAGAGGTCCCTCAAAGCAATTCAGGATTCTAGTGATTTCTAGTGTCATTTCTGGTTTGGATGTTTTCTGAAGCGTGTTTGAAAGGCTCCGCAAGGTGCCACCTTCAATCGCAGACTGGTTGTTGGATACAAACCACTCAGAGGCTGGAACAAGAGGCTTGTGTGTTTCAAACCTGGCCTTGATCCAGGCAAAAGGCGCCAGAGGCCGAGGCTGTGTGTGACTTTTTTGGTCCCCCCGACCCTCGAGCGAGCCTCACGGGCTCCGCCTAACTCCACGTTCAAGGTCGAGGCTGCGGAGTACACTGCCGCCGCTGACGGCACGCCCATCAACAGCCATGACGTTGACCTCCGGAGGCGGATACTCTACCAGTAGATTCTAGCCTCTCGCCCGCTTATTGGCCGCGCACTCACCCGGGCTTAATTGGAGGTTTAGGCATATTCTTTCTGGCTATGAGGAATGGCGGTTTCATCTTGGTTTCCTCGTGCACACGCCTCAAGCGAATTTATCCTTTGTCCTTTGTTAAGGTATACTCTTTGGTGGATTTGTGCGAGTTCGGCCCTTCGGGCCCACTCCTGATTTCTTGTGATGGTGGCATGTCGCCTCGTTTTTTTTTTTTGGTTGAGGGAGGCTTCAGATTTTTACAGATTCACGGAGTCAAATATGGCAGCCTCTGTTTGATCAGAATGCGTCGCCCTATCGCTATTTGAATGGGAACCGCCTCAAGCGCCTCAAGGACCCAACGGACAACACCAAAGATAGATTGCACGGAAGTTGCTTCCTCGAATTGCACGTTCTGCAGTACTTTCCGGGGCTGAAGCGATTTTTATTTGTCATGTCCAGACCGTGAGCATCCTTTTCTGCATGGCTTCCTGACAGCCAAGGAGGGCACTCGCCCGTCGTAGCCGCTGTTTGCTGTTGCGCGGATGGCGGGCCCTGAGGGGCCGACCGGAGTCCCGTGGAGACCATGAGGGCCCCGCATGGCCTGTGCATTTGGCTCAGACTCGGGGGCGCAGGCGGTGTTAAACCGAAGCAAGAGGCATGCTGAAAGGTTTGCGCTTTCGAGACGGGCAGTGCCCCATAACAAAGGCAATCACTTGTGTTGCCCTTCATGCTCCCGGATGCGCAGGCGCTCAGCGTGCGCATTTTCCCGAGAGAGGTTTGTCGCTGCGGCCTGTGGCTTGTCAATGGACGCCCGGGCCCGCGTTGAAGATTCGGCTACAATCCAGCAGCCCTGATGGGCTGCGCAAGGAAATAGCCGCCCCGGTTTTCGGCCTATTCAGGACTGTTGTGCCTGGCCACGTTCAGAGAACATGACCGGAAGTCATGTCCCGATGAGGGCCATGGCTGGCTCCAGTTCTGCCGCTTGGTTATGCTTCTTTGCCTCGCCGTGCCAGCTCCGATTTGGAAGCACATGTTGTTGGTGTCCAGCTTCGCCAATTTCACACCCAGAAGTGAGTCGTGAGTCGTTTGGCAGTTTTGCCGGCACAGGTGTGCGGCAAAGCAAACAACACGAACGCCTTGGTTGCAGCGTCTTGATTTTACTAGAGCCGTGCCCGCAGCCCTCCACCTGCACAGATGAAATTTGTGCAGCCCCGCCGCGGCCAGCAATTAGAAGCTCTCGTTGCTTTTGGAAGGCTGTGTTGTTTTTCTCGCTGAGCCGCGGCACAACACCGGAGCATGACTTTGATCTAGTCGACTTAGCGAAGCACAGATCTCGCAACTGCTGAGCAGCTGTGAGGCTGGACATCTTTAATCAAAATGGCGCTTGATACGGGCTCATGTTTTTGCATTTTCCTCCTATATCGGGCCTTAGTATAGTCAGTTCTTACCAGAGCCTTATTTTAGGGGAAACGGGAAAGGGGTCAGGAGAGGGAGGGGAGTTGGACTCCAGCGGTGACTGTAGCAATGGCGATCTCATGGTTGCATTTGGCCGCGCCCGTCGCCTCTCCAACAGCACATGCTCAGAAGGAAGCATCTTGATGCTTCTGGCCCAATCATGGAGCCCCCAAATCAATGCAGCCAGGGCACCTTCAAATAGAATCCACGCTTTCAAAACAGGGCCCCGACTTTCACGCGAAGCTGAAGAAGAATCCAGCCAAAGCCGTGGTTGCTGACTGAGTCTGGGTCCAATGCGTCCGGATGTCCGGCTCAGCCGGCGTGCCGCGCCGTGCCGTGGACCGCATCGGGCAGACCGGACCCTGTCCGCGTTTTTTTTTTCTCCCCCCGAAACAAAATTCAAGCACCACCCCCACACAACCGCACAGAACAGGGCCGGGGTGTTCCAAGGCTTCCTCACTAAGGCCATGCCCTTCGGTGGCTTATGGTTGCCCCTCAGTGGCTTAGGGTTGCCCTTCAGTGGCTTTGTGCTTGGTGGTTCTGAGTTAGGGTAGGCCAACTCTCTATTCGGAATGCTCAGAAAACACCTCCCGAACGTGGGCATCCGGCGCTCCAGTCGCTTGTCATCGCGGTTTGGTGTCAAGGATGCAGCCAACAACAGTGCCGAGGTAAAACAAAAAGGCGGTGACGTTCACAAGTGGTGACATGTGTTGACCTTTTGTTTGCCCCTGCCTTCTCCAAGTGGAACTCAACCACAAGACATACATCCTTGACCAATGTGGAAGGAGAGGCGCATGCATTTTCAATGAAACTTGGCACTGAGGTGTTCATGTTGCAGAGCATGACCGGGCAACTGCCTCTACAGCCTCCAAGATGCAATGTGCGCGAGACAAGTTTGCCTGACTGAGCTTGCTTCGGGCCTTCGGTAGGTGCCCGGGATTGGTTCATCCATCACTCCGGGTGTTTCGGACCGGTAGCATGCTAAGCATTGCATCTCAGATCATCTCAGCATCCGCAGCGGTCGACTGATTTGTCTAGGCTTTGCAACCAGCTGGTCCTGACAAGTCTCCATCAGAGAGTTTGTCTCGCGCGCAGCTGCTTGGTTACAGAGTCTTTGAAAGCCCGGCCGGGGTTCACAGTTGGACACGAGCGATTCCAGCCAAGGATGGCGCGATTTCAGGCAGGCGCGTTTCCCATGGGCGAAAAACACAACCCAGAAGTCTTTGCCTTTTGGGCACGGTTAACCCAAAGAAAGGCAAAAGAGCTGGAGGTGTTTCTCACTTCCAGACTGCCTTTTGGTTGCCTGTCCTGATAGCCCTGATCGCCCTGGTAGGATGGAGATGAGTCGGGCGACCGCACCTTGGCATACTTGCGACTCGAAATGAGACGGAGCCATCCCTTGCGAGGCGTGTGACCTGTGAGCTGGGAAAACTCCAGGCGCCAGCCTTTGCAAGATGGAGGTTTGATGGGAGATGACTTTCTTTTCTTTTTGGGGTATGGCCCGAGCAATCATGGCCTCTCGGGAGCATCGCATTTGCGAGTTCTTGGGCTTGTTAAATTTTAGGTTATCAGTGCCCTTCCATGAAATTCTGCATCCAGATGTCATTTGACCAGGGTGCCAAAGGAAAGTTGGTGGCGATCGATTCGGGGGGAGTTGCTCACAAGGGCCCCCACGCAAGGGAAACATGTGGTTCCGTTTTCTTTGCCGGGCGCTTCCGAGGAATATCACTGCATCTTGGCAGCAACATGCAGCGGCCAGCTCGTAGCCTTTGCAAGGGACTGGAAGGGGATTTCCGGACGAGTTGTCATATATGGGTATGGGTGAAAATTAAACCACCAGAACATCCGCAGGTTTTAGTCCTTGCTTCCATTTATCAAGGGTTCCATTTTGGGTACCTATTTTTGACCCACATATTTTCTGTGAATTTGCGAGTGTTTGACGCAAATAGCAGCTCGCGGGCCCAGCCGCCGGCCGCTCGCTCGCGGCAAGTCTTCGCCTAGGCAAGAAGTGGAGGCGTTACTGGACTGGCTGCTTGGCTTGCAGCTGCATCGGTGCCATTGGTCGATGGTGGCCAATTCTGTTACGGTGCGATCATTGCGAGCTTCAACCTGTTGCCCTTTCGGCAATTGTTGGCTTCCCTACCTCTAGCAACAACTTGACTTCGTGGCTCAAAGATCAGCTTCGGGGAACGGCGTTCTACTTGTTGTTTCTCCAAAGCCTAGCGACATGACCTGAGAACAGGGAGAAGAATCCGAAGGCGCGAGTACGTCCAATTGGAATACAAGACATCCAAGTGGCGTTTTGAGGGCACAAGACTATAAGCCAGTGCCACAACGAGCATGTGAAGTTGACAGGTTTTCGGATTGTCCGGGCAAATGCCGGCAAGTGGCCTTTTGGAAGCTTCTTTCCACCAAGGAAGGAGCGAGAGATGGCCTCACAATTTCAGCACCTCCGGAATCAGCTAGCGCAGGCCTGGCATGAAAGAGCTGAGGGCGATTTTGCATCAGTACCATTTTGACTGGTCT